ACCCGGCGCACGTCATTACTGGGTGCTAATGTGTGCCCCGCGGCTGCACTCCCGCTCCCCCGACGGCACCGCCATCAGCGATATGCCCCCACCCACCTGCTCAGGGACTCCTCTTTGAGCTTCTCTAAAATTCTGCATTGTTACTTCTTTTAGAACACGGGCGCCATGCGGGTTAATGATCTTCTGCACGTGCAGCTGCGTTAAGGAGCCCCCACCCCCAAGCGGGTCATAGTAACCGCAGGCGGGGCTTATCGACGGCCAAGACGGCAGCAGCCGGGCAAACCGTGGATGCGACAGAATGAAAGCCGGACCCCGGACCCGCAATCTCACGGAGATCCCTGCCGCCATTGGGCCCGTTGCTCCGAGGAAGCTGTTGACAAATTGGCCTGTCTGATAGGGCACCCGATAACCACCGTGGGTGATAAAGACACAACCTGAGCTGCCGTGGGGGCTTATGGGGGGGGTCCACAACAAATAGCCGCTTGGAGCCATTCTCGCTAACCTTTTCCAGTGACCTTAAATGCCGGCACTCTGTGTTCTGGCAGACAGCCTCCCAGCAGGTGATGGATACACAGAAAACCCGTTCACACTCCTTCAGAACCAGGACATAACAGTGGACCTTCTCCAAGCCAGCGGTGCCGTTTACGTCCATTTCCAATTACCCAACCGCATGCCAACATTGAGGCAAACACTGCCCAGTACCCAGACCCCCACCTCAGAGCCAAATGGCAACTCCCCCACCCCCACCCCCACCGTCTTTCCGATTCCACTGCGGTCCGATTAGCCGCAACATGATTGATTGCCTACCTCATCCACTCCCAATGCTGTAAACGCCGTTAACACGGAAAAATGTCACCGATAATATATTAGGCAAATTACTGCCTTGGCAAAGGCCTGAACTAAGCTTTTACGGGCAAGAGAAGCAGACGAGCAAGGAGCAAGCGAAGGAGAGGAGGAAGCCGACCAGAATCAGTATTAAGACAGGTATCATTTCCCTTATTACACATACAACCAATCAGATCAGGGGGGCGTGACCAAATGGGCGTGGCTAAGCAGGGGCAAGGGTTTAATTGGTTTCAAGTATAATGGAGTGGCTCAGCAGGCACAACAGACGTCCATTATAAGCTTTAGTCATTCCGGTTCCTCTGAGATGTGCAGTACTCTATGGACTTTTAGGTGCTATTTTCCCCTTGTTCCTTTTGGGATTAATGTTGTGTTTTGAGTTGAGTCGATGCCGTTACTCTGCCCAATCGGAGCAGTGCGTTTGACGGATGGAACACCATAAAGTGGGTCAAGGAGGGGAATATTTTTCTAATGAACTCACGCTCGAGACAGCACACGTCGCAAAAACATCGGGGGACGGACTGGAAAGGCGGGCAGTGAAAACCGCGCTGGCATCTGCAGGGCCAGAGCCAGCAAAGCCTTGAGCCTCAGAAGCCCAGACGTACGGCGGTCCATCACCATATCCCGCAAGCTGAAGTCGGGTCGGCCTCCCGTATTACAGTAAAGCCCTGAGACGAGGCCACACGCTCCCCCGGGATCAGGGAGGCGGCTCACGCCAGCGTCCGCTCCACTGTCACAGGGCCCCCCCCCCCCCCCCCCCCCCCCCCCCGCCCACCCCAACCTCCACCCCAAACCACAGAAAGCCTCTGCATTTCGATCTCATGAAGAAAAAAAACACACTTCTTTTGAAAACACTGATGTTTCGCACAAACGCCTATGAAAGAAGAAAAACAACAACAAAGGTCTCTTCTGGAAACAAAATGGAGAAAATAAAACCACGGCGAGATCTACATGCCTGACTGAACCTGACGGCACACATTTACTGATGGTTTTGCACTATAAAACTGACGGAATCTTTTATTTATATTTTTTTTTTAACCCATTTTCTGATGTATTTCAGGATTTCGCAAGGAAGCCTTGGACTTTAAGACTTAAACACAAGTGCTACTAGCAGAATGTTCAAATACAAAGATCTCACAAAGAGAATAATTTATTTTACACATCTCCATCCCTTCTGTCCTCTGTCTGCTGGCCTATTGTGACCCAGCTGGAAACATCTTCTCTTCCTGTAGGTCCTTCAGTCTCGACAAGGTCTTTACCCAGTGGGTCGCCGCCTGCTGCAGACTCCCATCTCGCTTCGGGACGCAATTTCCTGCACCGAGGGTGCCCGAGGGCGAAGGGAGGGCAGACTGAAAGGGAGGCGGACCGAGCGAAACCGAGACTATCCTCAGCAGTGCCTGTTCCGGTATATTCCGGCTCAAAAAATATGGAAAACCAGGTCATCTCCACTGATCTCACCGCAGGTTTTCCAATCAGTACTTTCAAACCGAGCACTGCTGCGATCAAATGGTTTTCAAAGTTCTCCTTTTGCGACAGGAAAAAAAACAAAAATAAAAAAAAAAACAGAAGGTTGACCAGTAGGAGGCACTCGACAAGACAAAGCAAAGAGATTCAGGGTCTCGAAGTCCTTGGTGAGCTTCTCGTCCAAGAGTTTGCCACTCCTCCTCTCATCGGAGCCGTCAGTAAGCGTGACGAGCGAGCGACCACGCCCGCCCGCCATCGCTGCATACCTCCTCCGCCGTGGGGCCGAGGCACGAGCGCCGTCTGCGGACTCTCGCCTGGGAGGGGCCGGCCTGCCGGAAGATTCCGGCTCATCGCCTTGTCTTACTCCGCCGTCGACCGCTGAGGGACAGAGTGCAGCAGCGTTGCCTGGGCAGGGAGCGGGAGAAGGGAGTGTTCACACTGGGGCCCTTCTGAGGGGGGCTTGGAGCTAGAAGACGACGGGAAGGGAGCGACTCGCCGGCCTGTACTGGGCGAGCTGAGGGGGGCGGCGGCAGGGAACGGGGGGAGGGGGTGCCGGCCGGGCCCCTAGGACTGTTTGAGCCGCTTGCGGGGCGGCCCCAGGAAGGGGCACTGCGCCGAGGCCAGGGAGCGGTAGGCCTCGGCCACCAGGTGGGGGTGGGAGACAACCATGGACTTCCAGCCCGAGGTCTCCATCACGTCTGATGCGTGGCTGCAGCATGGAGGTGGGGGGGGGAGAGAGGAGAAGGTGCAGCTCAAGG